TGCCTCGTTCTGTTACTTCACGTAGCTACAAACATTTCTATAAAATTTTCATTTGTCACAATGCCATACACACCATACAAATCGCTCTATAAATTATATTTAACTTGCCCGTTACTTTCATCTTCATTATTCTGTGAACATTCAAATATCTTTATTATTGTGCGAACTAACGTTAAAATACACCTATTTTTGCAAAAATCACCTATTTTGCAAAAATCACCTTCCTATTACATTACTTTTCTTCACTTACAGCTTTCGTGATTGCAACATTTCATAATATTTGCCTCTTTCTGTTACATCACGTACCTACAAACATTAACATTTTTCCATTTATCACAATGCCATACACACCATACTGTATGCTCACAACAAATATTTTTGGTTTATAACTTGCCGATTACTTTAATCTTCATTGTGTCAATTCACGTTCAAATATCTTTATTATTGTGTTAACTCACCTTTGAATACACCTATTTTTGAAAATATCACCTTCCTATTATTACATTACTTATCGTCACTTACAGCTTTCGTGACTGCAGGATTTCATATTCTTTGTCGCCCGGGTAATACTACATGGCCGGGAGTCAGAGCCATTCCCTCTACACCTTCGGGTGCGACAGGGATGTCCTCTGGCTCTCACATTATTTTACATCTATTTTTACCACGTAGTTCGTGAAGCCTTCAATAGCTGTACCGGAGGATACAATGGGAGGCTGATCGATGCTCAGGTGCGGTCAAGGGATGGCTCCCTATTGCTCAACCATGTTATGTATGCAGATCTGCTAATTGCTGCTCACTCAGAGGATGAGTTGGAGGCACTGCTGCTGAACCTGGAGCTTGCCACTAAGAGGTGGGGCCTTGCCATCAGCCCCACCAAAACTAAGCACCTGCCTGGGTATTTTGTACCATTGGACACTCCACCCCCACAACTCTCAATTGGTCATGGGCCGGTTGTGGTGAGAGTGGAGAGCTTGCCATACCTGGCCAGTGTGCTCACGACCGGCTCCGGTTTAACAGCAGAGGTCTCACTCCGAATCAGTCCAGCGGCATTGTCATTTAAGCTACCTGGTCTGTCGCTCCGCACGAAGCTTCAGGTCTTCTCAGCCAGTCATTCCCTCCCTTCTCTACGCATGCGAAACGTGGACCCCCCTAATGGAATATCTTCACCAGTTACAAACATTTAGGCTGGCCTGCTTACGAACCATCCTGGGTCTAACCAGGCTGGATTGTGTGAGGAGCTCACAAATTATTTAAAGATGTGGACAAAGTCCCATCAGTGAGCTCCTCCGGCAGGCAAGGCTGCGTTGCCTGGCCTATGTAGCCCGCATGCCCAGCCACCGCATGCCTAAACAGCTTTTGTTCGGCCGGATCGTGGGAGCTAAATGGGCGCAGCGCGGGCTAGAGAAGAGGTGTAGTGATGTGCTACAGGAATATGTGGAGCTGAGTGGACGTGCCGATGACTAGTACCAGTGGTCTCAAGATTGGCCTCTGTGGAGGAGGCTCGTGAAGGATGCTGCTACTGGCCAGTTTGAACCAGACGTCCTCCAACAACAACGAGGGGCGGAGGAGCGACGCTCACAACAACGAGCGGAGCGCCGGGTGGCTAAAGCACAGCAAGTTGTCACAGTAGGGAGCACATGTGGTGCATCAGCCAGTCGTCTCAGTCAAACTGTGGCATCTGGGTCTGCCCATCACCTGCCAGCGGGCGTTTGACACTTCACATGGCCTCAAGGTGCACATAGCCTGCCACATGTGTCGTTGTGACGTCACCGCCACTTAGTGCCGGATGGCGGTTGTTGTATAGTATTGTGATATTTTTTACACTTTTCATTATTTTACTTTTCATTATTATCTACATGACTTTACCGAAAGACACAATGGATGTACATTAATGTTTGTGTGCAGACAACTAATTTTTCTATTCCTTGCTTCTTTCGCTCAACTATTGTACACTGAAACCTGGTATTTTTATAATCACCTTGAAAATATTCACATATTTTCCTTTGTGTGCTCACAACTAATAATTTATTAATAACTTGCTCTGCATAATTTTTTTGTGTCAAATCACGTTCATAGAAACCTATTCTTTAAATAATCACCTTGCAAATATTACAATCAATCTTGATTTGAAACGTTCGTGACTGTAGGAAGCCATACTCTTTGGTTCTTTCGGTAAAGTCACGTAGGTATAAAATAAAATAAATCACGACGTTTTGGGCACAATACAAGCGTCCACCTGATGATGGAGCGTCCACCTGATGATGGACGCTTGTGTTGTGCCCGAAACGTGATTGATTTTATTTTATATCTACGTGACTTTACCGAAAGAACCAAAGAGTAAACAATCAATGTTTGTGTGCGGACAAATAATATTTCTGTTCCTTGCTTCTTACACTAAACTCATGTACATAGAAAGTGTTTGTAAGTCGATGTGTGTGTCTTTTTCGCCCGGGCAACGCCGGGTACTTACCGCTAGTTATATATATTACACACACAACCGCCTATTGTCGGCGGCACTATCTAGCTAGAACAGTTGCCAGGCTCTCGCTCAGGGCTCCCTCTTATGCTCCCAGCGTGCCCTTGCTCCGCCCTGGCCACGCCTCCCTTCTGGAACCTACTAGCAGGTTCCAGGGCTTCCAGATGGACCCCTCCATGAACTCTCTTAGTTGTCTTCCCGTATATGCTGTCGCCTGCTGACGTGTGTACTGCCGTACACTGCAGTTACCACTTTCCGTCAGCAGCAAGCGCTATTACTCTACACATTTATAAGTCATCCCACGCACCCCCTGGGACATTGCCACCGTACCCTCAGGGGTCCGCTTACCCCCGGTTGAGAAGCACTGCTCTCGATCACCAAACCCATTCTTTCACGAGGAGCTGCAGCGATGTCACATTCGTTCAATCTTTCGCCTTGTTCCTACTATTCCGATGGCAGGTTAAGCATGGCTCTGATTTTGTTTCTTCATTGGTAAATGGAAGTGCTACGTAATCGGTGTATTTTTCGTACACGCCTGCCAGTTTCGTCCTCAGCTGGGTTTATGTTCGGTCGCAGGGTTCCACAAAAGAAGTGTTATAAATCTCCCGGCCTCGATCACCGATGTAAGCCATCGAAAAAAACTATCTTCTCTCGACCTGCCACTCGCTGTTGAATGCTCCATTCAAAGTGAACTCAATATTTTCTTGGAATCGCTTGCATTCTATGGGTAGGTCACGTGCCTGCCAGTTGAAGTTGGTTCTCCCAATAAGCTATGCAGCACATGGTAGGGTGCAGCATGCAGTCTCCACCACGTGTTCGCATGTAGTCTCTACCACGTGTTCGCATGCAGTTTCAACCACGTGTTCGCATGCACATTGCTGTATTTGCTCTGCATGCGGTGTATGTACGTGCAGTATTTTCATCAAGTTGTATGTAGTGTATAATGTACTGTATATATGTTTGACACTGAAATCAAGCGTAGCTACTTTTATTGTCACGCACGCGGTGCCGATCGCCGGACTGGTTACGGCCTTTGGAGCGGTGTCGCCGGATCGGCCCGGGACCGCCAGATCATGTTGGCAGCAGCCGGATAATCGATGATAAACTGTAACCTGATTCGGCTATTTTTCCGTGAGGATTCCACCAGCCGGCTAATTGTGATCCCGGCGGAAGACAGCGTCAGCTGTTTATTGATGTATTGACGTCTACCGATTGGTCGATGTTGACGAGGCAGGAGTGGCCGTTGAACCACGCTCGGCTGGGTCGAGGCGTTTGTGGCAGTTCGGGGCTCGGTCCCTACCACATCCACAACGTCTGGAGCGGGGGTCGGCCGCTTGTGACACCATTTAGATGTGGGAGGAATCCGATGAGCTATGAAGCTCTTTTTCACGAATGGACGGGGGTGGTTTGCGGTACAGTAGGGGGCACAGCTGGTGTGCATCTACCAGTCATCTCAGCCAGCCAACCAATGGCACCTGCTGGGTCTGTCCCGAGACCTACCAGCGAGCCTTCGACACATCACGTGGTAGCCTCAAAGTGCACCTGGCCTGGCACACGCGCCGCGGTGACGTCACCGTCACTTTGTGGCGAGTGGCGGGGGTATTGGTTTGCGGTACAAAGGGACGCAACCCCCGTGTCGCTGCCTCCCGCATCTCTCCCACGCTTGCATGTCACCACAGGGCACTGAGCACACGAATGAGAGGCCAGAGAGGGTGCACAGGCAGTTGGTGACTGCGATTGTGTATCACCACGTGACCTGGTCAAAATATAAATTAAAGCCACGCGCGCACGAACAATTTGGTGGCAGTGCGGTCGGTGCATAGCGCAACCGCCGCAATTTCAGCGGTTGCGCTATGACGCAATAACAACGGTGGCTGTGTAGACCGCCACCGCGTCGATGAGTGATTTTTTTACTCGTCATCGCTCGGCTTTCTGTTCGAGCGACGACGTCACGAGGCGCAGCGGCAGTGCTGGCGATGACGTCACGGCGCGGCTCTGGGGCGATGACCTCATAACGCGCCTCTGACGGTGATGACGCCATCTCGCGAGTCGTCGCGGGGTACGCGCGACGCCTTGCTGCTGTGCGCGATGATGTCATCGCGCAGCTGCTGTGCGCGATGACTTCATCGCGCTCGCTCCGCGGCCAATGCGGTCACGCGCGGCAGTGGCCAAGTGTCGCCCGCGTTGAGGGGTTTCGGGTGAGCTGGGTGAGGGTGGTGAGGGTGAGGTGGTGGTGAGGGTGAAGTGGTGGTGGGGGAGTCGCGCGCCGCTACCCACGGCGCCCAGAAGCCGACGCCGCCTCCTGGCGCCATCTTATTGAAGGAGGGGAGGAGGAGGGGGGCAGCAGCAGCTCTCCCGCAAGCGCATTGCCGCGGAGACGTCATCACGATGCTTTGCCACTTGGTTCGTATCGCCCCCCCCACCACCACCACCACGCCGGGCCGCGGTCCTTCCCCCCCCACCCACCACCACCTCTCAACTCACCCTCCCTGTGTAACATGGCCGCGAAGTGCCTCGTTGTTTGACGCGGGCCTGCGAGCCCCCCTCCGGGGTTGTGCTTTCGAGCGGAGCGAGCGAGAGACGTTACCCGCAGTGCGCAATAGCGAGACGCTCGCTCCTCCTCCTGCCGCCACCAACCACCCAAAGCCTTCCCCTCCCCGCTGCTGTCGAGGCGACGGCAATAGCGGCCCACCCTGCCACCTTTGTCAATAGCGAGACCCCCCCCCACTCCCACCACCAATAGCGGGACCCCCCCCCCCCCCCCCCGAGGGGACAAACGGTGGCGATAGCTCGACCCCCGCCAGCCACTGGGGAGGCGGCGAGAGCGCGACCCACCCCCCCCCATATCCCCCGCCGCCCGGCAGGAATTGCGCGGCGAGCGTGAGGCGTGGGGGCCGCCGATTTTAACCGCGAATTTTATGAGGGAATTTAAAATAAAAAAAGCAACGCATCGCTTCGGCTTTGTTTATATAAATCTACACGTCTATTTTAGGGTGATCACTCGCGCGTGTTTTTTTTTAAATGTGCGTAGTTTTATTGCTCTTTTCATATTAACACCGACGGCTGCTTGGCGGTGCGCGTGTAAATGGCGAGCGGAATTAACCAGAACCCCGTGGTGAGTGCAGCGGTCTCTTCTAATCACCATCTCTTCTAATCACCATCACTTCTAATCACCATCACTTCTAATCACCATCTCTTATAATCACCATCACTTCTAATCACCATCACTTCTAATCACATCACTTCTAATCACCATCTCTTCTAATCACCATCACTTCTAATCATCACTTCTAATCACCATCTCTTCTAATCACCATCACTTCTAATCACCATCTCTTCTAATCACCATCTCTTCTAATCACCATCACTTCTAATCACCATCTCTTCTAATCGCCATCACTTCTAATCACCATCACTTCTAATCACCATCACTTCTAATCATCACTTCTAATCACCATCACTTCTAATCACCATCTCTTCTAATCACCATCTCTTCTAATCACCATCTCTTCTAATCACCATCACTTCTAATCACCATCACTTCTAATCACCATCTCTTCTAATTACCATCTCTTCTAATCACCATCTCTTCTAATCACCATCTCTTTTAATCACCATCTCTTCAAATCACCATCTCTTCTAATCACCATCTCTTCTAATCACCATCACTTCTAATCACCATCACTTCTAATCACCATCTCTTCTAATCACCATCTCTTCTAATCACCATCACTTCTAATCACCATCACTTCTAATCACCATCACTTCTAATCACCATCTCTTATAATCACCATTTCTTGTAATCACCATCTCTTGTAATCACCATCACTTCTAATCACCATCTCTTCTAATCACCATCTCTTCTAATCACCATCACTTCTAATCACCATCACTTCTAATCACCATCTCTTATAATCACCATCTCTTATAATCACCATCACTTCTAATCATCATCTCTTATAATCACCATCTCTTATAATCACCATCTCTTATAATCACCATCTCTTATAATCATCATCTCTTCTAATCACCATCACTTCTAATCACCATCTCTTCTAATCACCATCTCTTCTAATCACCATCACTTCTAATCACCATCACTTCTAATCACCATCTCTTCGAATCACCATCACTTCTAATCACCATCTCTTCTAATCACCATCTCTTCTAATCACCATCACTTCTAATCACCATCTCTTCTAATCACCATCTCTTCTAATCACCATCACTTCTAATCACCATCACTTCTAATCACCATCACTTCTAATCACCATCTCTTATAATCACCATCACTTCTAATCACCATCACTTCTAATCACCATCACTTCTAATCACCATCTCTTATAATCACCATCACTTCTAATCACCATCACTTCTAATCACCATCTCTTCTAATCACCATCACTTCTAATCACCATCACTTCTAATCACCATCACTTCTAATCACCATCACTTCTAATCACCATCACTTCTAATCACCATCTCTCCTAATCACCATCTCTCCTAATCACCATCTTTTCTAATCACCATCACTTCTAATCACCATCACTTCTAATCACCATCACTTCTAATCACCATCTCTCCTAATCACCATCTCTCCTAATCACCATCTTTTCTAATCACCATCACTTCTAATCACCATCACTTCTAATCACCATCACTTCTAATCACCATCACTTCTAATCACCATCACTTCTAATCACCATCACTTCTAATCACCATCACTTCTAATCACCATCACTTCTAATCACCATCTCTTCTAATCACCATCTCTTCTAATCACCATCACTTCTAATCACCATCACTTCTAATCACCATCACTTCTAATCAATCACCATCACTTCTAATCAATCACCATCACTTCTAATCACCATCTCTTATAATCACCATCACTTCTAATCACCATCTCTTCTAATCACCATCACTTCTAATCACCATCACTTCTAATCACCATCACTTCTAATCACCATCTCTTCTAATCACCATCACTTCTAATCACCATCACTTCTAATCACCATCACTTCTAATCACCATCACTTCTAATCACCATCACTTCTAATCACCATCACTTCTAATCACCATCACTTCTAATCACCATCACTTCTAATCACCATCACTTCTAATCACCATCACTTCTAATCACCATCTCTTCTAATCACCATCACTTCTAATCACCATCTGTTCTAATCACCATCACTTCTAATCACCATCACTTCTAATCACCATCACTTCTAATCACCATCTCTTATAATCACCATCACTTCTAATCACCATCTCTTCTAATCACCATCACTTCTAATCACCATCACTCCTAATTACCATCTCTCCTAATCACCATCACTTCTAATCACCATCTCTTCTAATCACCATCACTTCTAATCACCATCACTTCTAATCACCATCACTTCTAATCACCATCACTTCTAATCACCATCACTCCTAATTACCATCTCTCCTAATCACTATCACTTCTAATCACCATCTCTTCTAATCACCATCTCTTCTAATCACCATCACTTCTAATCACCATCACTTCTAATCACCATCTCTCCTAATCACCATCACTTCTAATCACCATCTCTCCTAATCACCATCTCTTCTAATCACCATCACTTCTAATCACCATCACTTCTAATCACCATCTCTCCTAATCACCTTCACTTCTAATCACCATCTCTCCTAATCACCATCACTTCTAATCACCATCACTTCTAATCACCATCTCTTCTAATCACCATCACTTCTAATCACCATCTCTTCTAATCACCATCACTTCTAATCACCATCACTTCTAATCACCATCACTTCTAATCACCATCACTTCTAATCACCATCTCTTCGAATCACCATCACTTCTAATCACCATCACTTCTAATCACCATCACTTCTAATCACCATCACTTCTAATCACCATCACTTCTAATCACCATCACTTCTAATCACCATCACTTCTAATCACCATCTCTTCTAATCACCATCACTTCTAATCACCATCTCTTCTAATCACCATCACTTCTAATCACCATCTCTCCTAATCACCATCACTTCTAATCACCATCTCTCCTAATCACCATCACTTATAATCACCATCACTTATAATCACCATCACTTCTAATCACCATCACTTCTAATCACCATCACTTCTAATCACCATCTCTTCTAATCACCATCACTTCTAATCACCATCATTTCTAATCACCAGCTCTCCTAATCACCATCACTTCTAATCACCATCACTTCTAATCACCATCTCTCCTAATCACCATCACTTCTAATCACCATCACTTCTAATCACAATCTCTTCTAATCACCATCACTTCTAATCACCATCACTTCTAATCACCATCACTTCTAATCACCATCACTTCTAATCACCATCTCTTCTAATCACCATCTCTTCCAATCACCATCTCTTCCAATCACCATCACTTCTAATCACCATCTCTCCTAATCACCATCACTTCTAATCACCATCACTACAGCGCCCTTGCCACTCACTACACACAGCCCCAAGTAACACTACACGCACTGAGACCACACGCACTGAGACTACACACACTACACAGACTACACACACTGAGACTAGACACACTTAGACTACACACACGACACAGTTCACGACACACACCATACAGTGACACTACAGTTCACTACACACACCACACAGTGACACTACAGTTCACTACATACACCATACAGTGACACTACAGTTCACTACACACAGTGACACTACAGTTCACTACACACACCATACAGTGACACGATAGTTCACTACACACAGTGACACTACAATTCTAGATTTAAAGCTTTCGTGACTGCTAGGATCCATGCTCTTTGGTTCTATTGACTTTACCCAATAGAACCAAAGAGTATAGTGACACTACAGTTCCCTACACACCACACAGTGACACTACAGTTCACTACACATAGTGACACTACAGTTCACTACACACACTACACAGTGACACTACAGTTCACTACACACAGTGACACTACAGTTCACTACACACACTACACAGTGACACTACAGTTCACTACACAGTGACACTACAGTTCACTTCACACACCATACAGTGACACTACAGTTCACTACACAGTGACACTACAGTTCACTACACACACTACACAGTGACACTACAGTTCACTACACACAGTGACACTACAGTTCACTACACAGTGACACTACAGTTCACTACACACACCATACAGTGACACTACAGTTCACTACACATAGTGACACTACAGTTCACTACACACACTACACAGTGGCACTACAGTTCACTACACACAGTGACACTACAGTTCACTACACACACTACACAGTGACACTACAGTTCACTACACACACTACACAGTGACACTACAGTTCACTACACACACCACACAGTGACACTACAGTTCACTACACACACCACACAGTGACACTACAGTTCACTACACACAGTGACACTACAGTTCACTACACACAGTGACACTAGAGTTCGCTACACACACCACACAGTGACACTACAGTTCACTTCACACTACACAGTGACACTACACACACCACACAGTGACACTACAGTTCACTACACACACCACACAGTGACACTACAGTTCACTACACACACCATACAGTGACACTACAGTTCACTACACATAGTGACACTACAGTTCACTACACACACTACACAGTGACACTACAGTTCACTACACACAGTGACACTACAGTTCACTACACACACTACACAGTGACACTACAGTTCACTACACACACTACACAGTGACACTACAGTTCACTACACACCACACAGTGACACTACAGTTCACTACACACACCACACAGTGACACTACAGTTCACTACACACAGTGACACTAGAGTTCGCTACACACACCACACAGTGACACTACAGTTCACTACACACAGTGACACTACAGTTCACTACACACACTACACAGTGACACTACAGTTCACTACACACCACACAGTGACACTACAGTTCACTACACACACCACACAGTGACACTACAGTTCACTACACACAGTGACACTACAGTTCACTACACACAGTGACACTAGAGTTCGCTACACACACCACACAGTGACACTACAGTTCACTACACACAGTGACACT